TGCTCTATGTGAATCTCCTATTATTGGTCTGTGTGAGCATAGTCAGGAAATCATGTCTACCTTTAATTTTCCCAACAGCAGCAATGTGGGCATGATGTTTGCATCAGTGTTGCTAATTCAGAGTCAAAGCACCATGGACAGCGCTATTTGTTTAAAGTAGCAGCCCCAGACTAGCTTTGCACTACAATACGTAGAAGCTCTATAATACATCCTAAAATGAAGCATAGCAAAAGACTCCTTCTATCTAAATACATTTTTTCTGGAAAACATTGTTATTTTTAAAAATCACAGTTTAATTTCTCTTTTTACTAAGGAAGTTTTGATTAATGTCTTTATTGGTTGAGGAAAAAAATGTTATTGTGTAATTTTCAGACCACCATTACAATTTTTTGTCAGAGAATCCATGAGTTACACTGATGTCAAAATAATTGGCATTGGCTAAAAAAGAGGAAAACAAAAAAAAAAACGCATCAGAAAATCTCTAATAGTTTTTATGGCAATGAATTACTGCAAAGTGTTTGGAGTTTGTTTTAACACTTTATAAAAAAAAATAATTGTATAACATTTTAAAAAGACATCCTTTGTTTACTTCAGATAAACCCTCCATCCTTCATCTCTCCTCTACCTGTACCGTGGAGGATTCTGAGGTTCGTTGTCGCTGTTTGGTTGACTCCAACCCAAAAGCTGCTGTCACCTGGAGTGTTAACGGGAGTGTTCCACCCTATGATTACAACATGTCTATAACATCAGAGCCTGTTGTGCTCACGGCATCTCTGAGGGGCTACATGGCCAAACCACTGAGCGTAATCTGCTTTGCATTTAATGCACTTGGAAATGACTCCCTGGTTTTGCTGCAGGGGGAGGAAGGTATGTCACTGTCCTTATCAAACTAATAAAGAAAACAGCTCTCCATGTTTTATCTATCAGTGTGAGGGTAACAATGAGTTAACTAAACAGTAGGTCAAAAATGTGACAAAAAGTAAGAAAACTTTGTAAAGAAAAGTTTACAGCACAAGAAGTGGGGGAGTGGTGGCCTAGTGGTTAGAGCATAGAGCTTGGAAACCTGAGATTCTGAGTTCGAGCCCCACTCCCACAGACTGCCACTCTGAGTCTCTGAACAAGACCCTTAACCCCACACTGCTCCCCAGTCAACCTATGATGGCAGCCCACTGCTCCCCAAGGGGATGGGATAAATGCAGATAGTTAATTCCGTTGCTCTGTACTTGTGACACTGTAGTGACAATAAAAGCTGAAAAAAAGAAATATTTCCCAATGTCACCAAAAATGATATTGGTATCTAAGCTATTCAATTTACACATTATTGCACTGATCTATGCCTTTTTTGTTGCAGAATCTGTACCTGTGGTCTGGATCATATTAGCTGCTGTAGGGATCTTCCTGTTAATACTCTGTCCGTCTCTGATTATCTACCACTGCCATCGAAGAAGAGCTAAAAGGTATGAGAGGCAAATTTACTTATAGAATGAGGATCTTGTTTCTATGTAGCTTTACCTGATGGTCTTGTTTTTGTCCTTGTAGACACCTGAGGAGACATCAAGCTGTTTACCCTGAAGGATTGGGAATTTATCAGAACAGAATGCCTCTCTACATTAATTGCACTGAAGTCACTAATGTCTACACCAATGGGAGCTACCAGCTTGTGTACCAGAACTCCACTCCTGTTTTTGTTCATACAAAACAGGTATCACATAATTTGGTTCTTATAGACTGTGCTATTTTGAATAGAGGACATGTTGTATAGATTTTACATTTAAAAAAAATGTTTGCCATGAATTTTAAACATCTGTATCTCTTTTTTAGACCCGTCCAATGGGGAGAAGAGGTGGGGAGAGGAGAAGAGGAAGAGAGGCTGGAGGTAGAGATAGAGGAGGTGTAGGGCTACGGGGTTCAAGAGATCTTCAAAGTGCTTCTCTAGCTGATCCAGAGACGGCTATCTATGTGGAGATATTATAAGTTTAAAAAGACAAAATAAGTGGATATGTAATCCTTTATGTTTGGAGCAATCATGCCCATGTCACTTTCTGGCTACAGTATACATAATGTGATATATTAACTGATTTTTGTAAGTATTGTTTTTGACTAACATCATTGACTTTTTAGTAGAATAGTTTTGAAATGATACTTTATCATTTGATCTGCTAAATTCATAAGAAGCCGGACAAAGATCCTCAGATCTGCGATTCTGTGACAAATCAGAGATTTAAATGATGATATAAGTAGCTGAACCAGTCAGTGGTGTATCATCCTCTGGAAAAACCTTGCTTCTTTTTTCTGTGGCTCTAGTGGCATGTCTTAATTATTAGCCTCACAGAAGGAGAACATAGATTAGGGAATGACTTGTCGTAATTGGCCCATGGTAAGGGCTCAAACCAGGACAGCTGCTCTAAGCACACTACCCTCCCCATGTGGTGCTACAGCTTCATCAATACGTTTTGGAGGGCTTTAGGTTTTAAAAGATTTTATAAAGATCATTTTTATCCCTCTTACAAATGAAAATTTGTTTCTAAATAGACAAAAGTGAATATTACATTTGATGCAGAAATTTTTCCTATTATATTTTGGGATCTGTTTTGTATCTGTGTGGATTTTTTTTCATGGAAGGCTTATTATATTGCAAAATTGTTATTTTCATATAGATTCACAGACTTAAAGGATTATAAAACAAGGACCCTGTGTTGATTTATTAAATGTTCTTTTGAATTACTTAAAAAAAATCTATCACATATCATTTATATTTTTATTCTATGTACTAGGACTAAGTAATGAAAAGGACTAGATAATAAGTAACATACAGTTTATTGTTATGGATTTTTTGTATTTCAAGAGAAATTACACAAAGGCCCCAAAGTCAGATTATGTTGCTTCAGAGTTGCAAGGCTAGGCCCCATAATCCTAATCTAGCTTGTATGTCCTGTTAGGATAATTATCATTGAGGTTGTGTGAGTTTATTACACCCTGGTATGGGCTGCCTGTTGCACGTCAGAACTGACGTTTTAATCTAATTAGGAAATTTCCTCTTTCTGGATATACAGCTATCTTCATTTTGTATGTGGTAAAGATTTGGAAATGGAATGAGAGCGGTGTCCTTCAGCTAAGAACCAACCAAATATTTTGATATGGCTGGAGCCATGGACATCTAATCATCTGGTAGCATGTATGTAAAATATGAGGATGTGGCAGACTGGAAATGAATAAAATGCCTTTTAACTGTTAATCAGGGCCACTTCCTGAGAGGTGAGCCCGGAGGTGCCCTCTGTATACTCGAAACAATTTCTCTGATCTGAGTAAGATTACAATTTCTACCAGAACCTGTTGTCATGTCTCCTGGTTATTTAATACATATAAGTTATAAAGTGTTATTTAAAGAGTTTGTCCCGAATGATCTCTTTTCAGGAAAAATAACCTGAAGTATAGAGCATCAGGGTGCATACACAGAGCCTATTTTTAACAGTCCTGAATTCCTCAAATCGGTAAAGACTCTTAAGCTGCAGTGGAAGTGTGTCAGCGATCGCCATATTAAGTGCTGTCCAAATAGTGCGGGCAGTAAAGAAGACGAGGAGAAAGCAGTATACTGCCTATCGCCGTTTCAGTTAGCACATCAACCTACGGAAGTTCCTAGCCACAGCTCGGAGCTATACTGCTGCTCTTAATCCTTACATGACTCTGTGTGATACATACAAACGTATTCACCTTCATATGTTTTAGGTTTTATAATGGAGAGCGTCAGCCCCTCATTACTTTTGTGTAATGTATTTTTTTTGCAGTTCTTTTCCAAAAGTCTTTAGTATCGATTTGACAAGCATCATCCATGCAGTCAAAAGTTTCTTTCCTACCCTGGATAATTTTCTTACTGTTGACCCTTGCAAAAGATGAAGGGAAAGAAACAAGGAACAGATGGTAGAAGCTACAATTTGAGGCATTCAGATAGAGCCAGTCCCTGTGACCATAAACATATTTAAACTAATTAATGATGTAAAGGTTGCAACATTTTTAGAGGGAAAAATATAAAAATGGATTGTTTCTTCTCGGTTGACTGAAATTCTCCTACTTATGCATTAGAGTTCATGGTTCTTGGCTACTTTTTTGAGTGGCAGTACAGTAGGGTGGAGCAGAAAACAGATGAGAAGGTTCAAGCCGCATCTGCACCAAAGAGAAGGTTTGTCTAGTACGTTAGATAGATAAAAAGTATACACATCTATCTGTATAAAAGTCCCAACTTTTGTCATGATAATAATTTGGAATATGACCTTAATGTATTTTTCCATATTTGAAGCAGATCAACAGTTTGATGGAGGGATTATATATATTTTCTAACATACAAATGTCTTGGGATCGACAGTACCAAAATCCGTCACTCCCTAAACTGTTTTTTTTTTTTTTTCTGGTCAAAAACTACGAAGCAAGTCCCAGACAAAGTGCTTGATTGCATTCTATGCACATAAAAGATTGGCTTTACATTAGTAATTGAAAATGATCAATTACATTTTAAATTAAGAGAAAATATGGGGAATAAAAACTCATTACAACTGATAAATAACTTAATCTATTAAACGAATGAATCAATGAATCCAATAAAGTACTTTTAAACTGAAAAAATGGGATTCATAATGTATTTTTAAATTTGAATTGCATTGAATAAGATATAGAAATGCATCAAACAAAAAATGCGTTTAGAAATTAATGAATGAGAAAATTATGATTATTTATGCTATAATTAAAAAGTAATTTGTCTCAAGTGTGCATTAATATAACAAAATATAACAGAGATCAAGTGTTTAAACCTACACTGACATGTACACAGTAAATACGCAGTCAATACCTAAAACCTTTTGCAGTTTTAAACTTTTATAAAAAATAATGACAGCAAAACTTTGCATATTCCACCACTTGGTGGTGAGCTCAATCGCACGGGGACATAATTTCAGCGTAGAAGAAGAACGACACGTTTTGATTGGACAGAAAACCAGTTAGCCGGAAGTTACGCAACAGTGCAACGTTCGCTCCCTTTTGGTGGGAAAATGTGTTCGCTATGGCGCAAATTTAACTTAAATTCCAAATGGTTGATATATAAATTGAAATACATGCTGTAACTATAGAGTAATGTGTATATGTCAAGCTTTACAGCACGGAGAGATTACCGCGCTAAAGGCTGTTACAGGTGCTGAATGATCCGATTACTCTAGGAAAGTTGCCTGCCTTTTGTTTACTAGCATGCTATTTGGCTGTTCAGGAGTTTTAATAACGCTGAGCAGACATTCAGTGGGTTCATTTTTGTACCGTTAAAAGCAATCTGTGTGTCTTTCGTTACTGGCTTCTAGGGTAGATGGTTGTCTCTTTATAAACTCGTCGCTGGCGGATTTAGGAAAGTCATAATCACATTTAATAGCGGCCGAAAATTAACCCAAACATGCCAGAAATCAAAGTAAAACACGTGGTTTCCTGCTCCACGGAGGACAGTGTAAGTTATTTCATTTTAACCGTCTGATAATTGTAAAGTAAGCTGCTTCCTGCCTCATTTGTTTATATACAATCCAGACTCATAAAGCAGACAACCTGCTGAGCTCAGACACCTACAGAAAGTGGAAAGCCGCAAAACCCGGAGAGAAGCAGACATCCGTCATCCTACAGGTTTGGGTTCTTTTCAATGATTCATGTTTTCATTGTTTTTAAGATCCCGGTCTAAATAAATATATATGTTAGCCATCCAGTAGCGGTTCTAGACCAAATGTACCAGGGGGCCAGGAGGGGGCCAGCGTGTTTTCATGGGGGCACAGAAAAGCGTGAAATAAAACGCAGGACAAGGGATTCAAATATATTAAGAGAGCTTTATGAAGTGAAATTTCTATTCAATTAGGTTTAATTAAAATGTGTCTTACTGGGTCAATTTACATTCATAATTTAGGAATTTAACACATTTTTGCATTAATTTAAGTTAAAATTACCATTTACTACAAAATCTGAATTATAACTCAAGAAAAACTGATAAATTCAGCCAATAAAATTGGAGCAATTTATTTTGAAGAAAAAAAACATTTAGCAAAAGAAACTTGAGATCCTAGCGCAATACCACTTAAGCTATCGCCTTATTGATTTTAAGTAAATAGTTAAACAGAATTTGTAAAGAAAAAAAAAAGAAATAGACCCTCTGTTCCAGCGCAAATCATCTTTAGAATTTCTTTGAGTATAATTTCTTCAGTACAGGGGCCAGTTCCCCTGTAGATCATATCCTGGCCCCTGTCTAGACCGCCCCTGCAGCCATCTTAAATCGATAACCCATTCGATCATGATGGGGGAGTGGAAGTCTAGTGGTTATAGCATAGAGCCTGGAATCCTGAGGTTCTGAGTTCGAGTCCCAAAAACTGCCACTCTGGGTCTCTAAGCAAGACCCTTAACCCCACACTGCTCCCTGGGTGCCCCAAGATGGCAGCCCACTGCTCCCCAAGGGGATGGCTTCAATGCCAGAGGTGTAGCCAGAAAATGTTTATTAGGGTGGCCAAGCAATAACCAATGTACACTGAAGGGTGGCACCAGAACCTCAGGGTTAATCTACACTTTTCCAACGGGAAAATTAACGAGCAAAGAATCCATATTTTCTATATAAAGACAAACTATACTTTCCTAGAGCCTTCGCTAACAAATAGACTCATAAATGTTTAGACATCCGTGCTTTCTAGATAAAAGGTATAGTGGATACAAATTTTTTTAGGTTTGAGTTCTGGGGCAAAAATCTTTTCCATTGTCTTTACTTACCTACTCTTATCAACAATCATTCTGGATAAAATAGATATTTACAAGTACTAATATCGACATAAATTGATTATTTAATAGGTTTTTTATTAAAATAGTTATTTATCTATGATTTCACTAAAGACTCCTAGATGACTTGCAGAGACCCATCATTTTCTCTTTACCCCATGAATCTAGTTATGGAAAGAGCATGACTTCTGTACTTATCATCTTTAATGTTAGTATTTTAATGTGCACAATTAACCACAGTGTTTTTGTTGTCAAATAATTTTTAATATATAAAAAATTTGAAATGTTTTGAATATTCCCCTTTGAGAGCTAGATGGGCCCCCCATCTAGCTCCGCCCCTGTTCAATGCAGAGGTGAATTTCTCCAATGTGAGATCAATAAAGTTCTATTAGTAGTAGTATTATTATCATTCCCAGTTAAATTAGCAACCAGTTTCATCTAAAATATACTTTAAATAAATGTATGTTAGTTTCCCAACCACAGCTGTTTAATTATTTTAAATTTATAAAAACTGTTGTCTACATCATATAGAAGCGCATTTCACCTTATTAGTCTATAGATATAGCAACTGTTTTATTAGTAATGTAAAGAATGCATTACATGCACACATCTATGGTTTTCTATGGTTATAGAATGTCTGATATCTTCCCAACTTAAATACATTTAAGCCTAATATATTGTATTTGGATAATAAAATCTCCTACATGTTGGTGTGTTTTTTTTTTTTGGGTTCATCCTGGTCCATCAGTGAGGTTACTTAACAAAAATCACTTTATCAAGTTATTATAACTAACTGAAATGATTATTTGTACGACAAAATAAACTAACAGGGTTTCTGCGGGTCATTACAAATAATTAAAAGTCAGTAAATTATTATTGTTTTAAATTAAGGCCTTAACTGGCATTAAAATTCATTAAATGTGATTATTGTGGCTTTTAAAATGCTTTTTTAAATTTTTTTTTATAAAAAACAAATTCCTCCGATATGTTATATCAGATATAACTGGTTCCCCGTGTTTGGGCTGAACTGCTTCCGGTCGATCGTAAAGCTGTTTATTTGGAAAAGAAGCTTAAGGTGGAGAAAAAAATAGAGAATGGGAAAATGCAAATTTCAACAAAAGTGACTGGAAAACGAGGAATTTGGGACATGGCTGCAGCCTGTCGATGGTAAAGATGGCGAACGATTTTGCTGTGTTTTTTTTATTTATATATATATATATATATATATATATATA